TTTTTTTCTCTCTTTTCTCTCTTCTTTTTTCTTTTTTTTTCTCCTTTTTCTTTTTTTGCCCTGCCCCACAATAGAATCATTTGGCGCATCCTTCTTAACACGTTTCAATCGCGCAATCGTTCGTTTCAAAAAGCCGCGGCAAGTTTTCTCCTTGTTCTCGTCTCTTCATCTCTCTCCGACCCTTTTCGTTTAACCGAATATCGAACAAGCAGTTCGTTTTGTTCCCCGACTTTTCAGAACGAGACGAGAATCGACCGAAAATGAGCGATTATGGATACGACAGTAGAGGATACGACAGCAGAGGTAGGGAACGACAGAGGCGAGGAGCAAGCAGAAGTGACGAAGACGATCCCGAGGAACGAAGAAATATCTTGCAGCGTTTGGATAGCATACAAGACCCCGGAAAGCGTTATCTCCTCCGAGACTGCATAGGTTCTGGCGTGTGCGGCGATGTGTACGAAGCGATCGATCAACAAGCCGGTACAGTCTCGACGATATGTGTTTGACTATTTCTTCTAAAATTCTTCTAAAATTTTTCACCGTGCGTTTTTCCTTCGTGTGCTCGCAGGGAACAAAAGAGTCGCGGTGAAGGTGCAGAAACTCACTCCGGAATCGCAATCTCTGATCATCGATGAGTACAAGATTCTTCGTGACTTCGGGTCTCATCCGAATCTGCCAGACTTCTACGGGATTTATCGCAGAAGATCTGGCAAGAAGACCGAGTACGATCAAATATGGTTCATCATGGAGGTACGTATTGCGTACGGTTTGTCCCGCAGGTTTGCGTCGAAAACCGCGTCCGAGTGTTGTTTATCTGGCACGTCTATATCGCGTTTGATTTCATCGTCGATATATCCACGTACAACGTCACTCCTCTAACGTCGTAATTCTCCCGCGAGAAAAATAGAAAGGAAAAGAAAAAAAAGAAAGAAAAAGAAAGAAAGAAAATGTAGCAATTGCGAAACAGACACGGCACGAGAAGAAGCGAGGGTGGGGTTCCTCGGGTGGACGAGACCGAAGGGGTAGGTAAGGAGAAAGAGAAAGAGAGAGGAAAGAAAAAAGAAACAAAGATGGAAGGCAACGGCGATGGAAGAGTTGCTGTACGTACCCATGCCAGGACCCGGAGGCAATTTCAAGCATTTGAGACGGTCGAATACACGGATAATTTACGACACGCGCGGCCATTAAACAATCATTAAACTCGTTCGTGTACGCAGGTGAGCCCTGGCACGTCGCGGCCCTAATTTACGGGTGGACCTCCTCGGTGCGCCCGAAATATTATTACTTATCTCGGAAAGCAAAGCGTCGATATTCGAATTTAACGCACGTATGCGTGCACGTTCGATCTCTCTGCTGCTCTCTGTAATATCAACGACGTTCCGCGCTCTTTTGCTTCTTCTCGTTCCTCTTTCCGTCTATCCTGAACGAGACGATACCATACGATATTTGCGAATGTTTCTACTTGGTAGAACGAAATTGGTAATGAAGCGGTATCGTGAATCGCTCGTTGCCGATGATTACACGGTCTCGAGACGAGGTATATTGGAAACACGGCCAAAGAAACAGGTGTACAATAGGTGGCTGGCTACGAGCAACAAAGAAAACGACAACGGTTTTGCAAGTCAATCGATCTGAAGCAAAAAGCTTGGTAAACCTCCGAGAATTACTAAGACCAGACTGGGAGAACGAAGGACGAGGAACAAGCTGGAAAAGAGGAGTAACACGCAACGACAATGTGGCTGAGATTTATCGCCGATGGTATTTCATATCGTATCGCGGGCAGGTTTTACGTGCATCATATATACGAACTGTTGCCAGTAGACCAAGTTCTCGTGAGCTTTCGCTCGAAAGAATGCATCGACCGTGCGCATCGCGTGCCTGCTCAGAGTCCGCTTAAAGCTCGTGTGCGATACTTGCCAATCCATATTTGCAGACACGAAACCAAACGAACGTTCGCCAGAACGTGAACGACGCTTGAAATTCGACGATTTCAACGGAAACTTCTATTCCAAGTACCTAGCTGGAAGTAGGAACAGAAACCGTTAACGCTGAGAATCCTAGATATCGAGATCGCGGCCAATTACGCGATACAAAATCACCCGGAAAATTCAGCTTCGTCTCGAGTGCTCGATTTAAATTGCTTCCTCAATTTCGCGGGCAAAGCCAAACCATCGACGCGATGTACCGAAGTGCCGACACAAATCGAAGATTGCTTTCTTAAGCCACGATCACGGTATAATTTTAAGAATCGATACTCTTCCACGTGTCTTAATACACGTTGCTGTATAAAACGATCTCCTAACCCGTAGCCCGCAACTTTCGCGTCCTATTGTCCAGTTCAATATCTCTCGTATGATTTGCAGCTCTGCGAAGGTGGGACTGTGATGGATCTGGTGCACGGGCTTCTAGCCAAGGACAAGAAAATGCGCGAGGAGCACATCGGTTTTATCTTGCGGGAGGTGATCCAGGTGAATCTCGCGGAGCGGACGGTTTAAAATGGAGCTCGACGAAGCGCTCGAAACGCTGCAATTTCTCGACGCGTTGAACGCGATGATTTCGCGATGGCCGCTGCGGGCCTCTCGTCCTCTCGCTTTAGTTAGGAACGAACAGCATCTCCGCGAGGGTACAAAACCGATGGCATCAGGTAGTTTCACCAATCCTTCGGTATGTTTCCAGCGTCTTTGCGCTCGAGCATAGAAGTCTTCCCGAGTAGAGGGAGCATTTTTGAGATTGTTCTTCCGAGCCGAACGGAAAGAGAAAAACGAAAAGAGAGGCAGCAGGAGAAAGAGAAAAAGTAAAAATAACGTCGAAAGGCGAACAAAGGGAAGAGAGAGAACGAGATGGTTCGTTCCGTGATCGCGATCCAGAATGTCTCGCGCGACCGGGTAACTCGCGATTCGCCGGCTGTGCGCTCGCTTTTACGTACGCGCAAAATCGAGGGACACGGGAAGGATCGCGAAATACGCGCGTCAATGGGCCGCATTCTACGGCGTATAAATTACAAATAAGACGGGCGAGATAGCTCGCTAATTAACCTGCTCGCAAATGGAAGGCTGCCCGCTCGTTCGCCCTTCTCCGCGTTGTTCGCGCAGCGATCTCTCCGAGTGCATCCAGCGGAGATCAAGAGCGCAAAGACTTCCGTCCCATTCTCCTCTGACACGTACTCTCACGTTTCTCTGTCCCAAGAGAACGCGCGCGCGCACGCGTTACAGTCAAGGACAGAAGCAGAGATCCCGCGCTCGGTTAGAGATGTATGGGACCCAACACTAGCGGCAGAAACGTAAGAACGCGAAGGAATAAACCGAGAATCGCGACACGGGCGAATTGCAAACGTTTCCCGCCTCGAGGCCTATAATTTTACGAGGGAAGGGATTTCGCTCGGTCACAATGGGATAATGTTGTCGTAATTCCGTTCTGTTTCCTCTCGGAATATAATTTACCTTAATATCAGGACAGGAGAGACGTTTCTCCGACTCGGTATCCTCTCCGAGGCTCGCGGTCCGCGAAACAACCGCGGAAACTGAACGAACACACCGGGTGGAAACGGTTAGAAAAATATACTGGACACCGGAGTGAACGGGTATGTCATTTACGCGTCAAACGCCGCTGCAACCTGATCGGCGCCGAGGATAAAACGCGCGTTTCCGTTTCGAATCGTGCGTCGTTCCCTTTCCGTTCGGTATAGCCGAGACGTGCTCGCGAGACGTGGCTCGCGGCTCGGTTTCCCTGCAAAAACATCGGGACCGCGTAAAATCGATGGGTTCTACTAATTATCTCCGCCGTGAGAACCTCGTGAACCTGATCCCTTAAACCTCGACGAATTCACGCGTGAATACTTTCTATCTCTCGGATGATGCTTCTCTCTGTAATCGCGCTACCTTAACGGAGCTGCTATCGACCAATCGAGTTTCTCATAGACAACGTTGCCAAGAAAAGATAAGATCGATGAAACTGTCAAGTAGCATGAAACGTTGGCCACTCGATATGCATTACCGTTCACCTGTGTTACGGGTTAAATCGTTTCTAATTTGTCGCATGTTACACGAGAGAAGCCATGTTTCCTTCTCCTCCGCGTATCGTCTTTACCCTAATTGATTCCCGATCGAACGAAATTATCGTGGCGAGCGTTTTCGACCTCAGCCTCGTCATCGACGATATTTACAGAATCGTTTTTCAACCTATTACACACGCGCGAGATAATCCACG